TGTGTGTGTGTGTGTGTGTGTGTGTGTGTGTGTGTGTGTGTGTGTGTTTCAAGCAGATGAATAATGGGACCGTGCATTTTTCCATCCAAGTGTTTTCCACCCTGAGAATAATTTCTTTCCTGGCTTCTCAATGAATAAGGCATTATTTCTGAAACCCAAGAGGCATTCCTTTGATTTCCCTTCATGTTTAGCTTTCTGAGTGATTTTCAATAAAGGAAATTCAAGGGCTTGGAATGAAGGCTCTGTTAGCACTTTATTGAGGTTCAGATAGTGGTCTGGCTATTATCTGCTTATATTTGGAATATTATTTTCCTTTTCTTAGGAGCATCTAAGGTATTGTATTTATAAGAAAAATGAAGCACCTTGGATGGTCTTCAAAGTGCACAGCAGTTTAAAACCAATACACACTGGTGTTACAGAACAAAGAGCTTTATAGGGGACTTTTCTTCTCTCTGTATTTGTATTTCCCTGCTGAAAAGGTTCAAAGAGAGGGAGAGAGAGAAAGAGAAAGAGAGAGAGTGAAGACTAGATTGCACTTGTTTACTTTTTATGAAACTCATTCCCTGAGGCTGTCCAAGCTGAGGACTCCAGCCTAGGTTTGCATTCACTGAGCCCAGCACCTCCGTGTACATCTGACGATTTAAATGCATGTGCGGGTTCTCCTACTCACACTCTGTTCACCAGGTAGCTGTCATCTTGCACAGCGCCTCTTAGCTGAAGTGTAATGGCACACACTCCCCCACTGAATACCATTCCTTCAATAGAAGACCCCCAGCACGCCCCAAGATAACATAGTCATCAAAGCTAATTAATCCTTTTGTGACTTTCGCGTTACCTTAGATCCACATGGAAAGTGATCTCAGAATTTAAATAAGATGGGAAATCTTTTCCCATTTTCTTTTCCAAACCACTTATGATTATAGAAAAAAAATCTTAATAATTCAGAGTAGTTGTGGGTGAGAGAGGAGAGAATTGATCTTAGAGAACAGATGAAACATAAAATTTGGTTATAAATATTTAACTTTAAAAGTTGGAAAGAGTGGAAGGATAATGTAGTGCTTTCAGGAATGTGGACTCCAGAGGCAGCCTCCTCGAGGAGAGAATCTGGAATTTGCTTCTTGTTTAGCATTTCCAGTGCCTTGGTCTTTTAGGCGAGGTGTTTAACCTTTCTGGGTCTCAGTTTCTCTGGCTGTACAGTGAGGGTTTAGTTTCCTTGCTATCTGTGAAGATTATATGTGTTAGCGTTTGTCAAGTATATGCAAGACTGTGATTTTTGGATTAAAAAGTTAAAACATTTGTCCCTGGCAGCTGCCACTTACACCACACCAGAGTTTAGGATAACAACAATGTTGGGGTTGTTAACGTGCACTGGGTATTTTCTTAGCATCCATTTATGATTGATAACCAAACTCAGGAGGTAAATAGACCATGTGTAATTTTCACATGAGAAAAAAGAGACAAAAATTCAATTTGCCTGACCCTCCCAGTTCTCCAAATGGTAAAGTAATAATTCGTGCACAGCTGCACAGAAACCAGAAACTGCACCTTTGCTAACGGGGGAGGACTGTATCATTAATGACTTCTTTGGCCTCCCAACATCCATACCTTTATGATTTTTTTAAAGAAGTTATGTAGCATGTATTCCTAATGTATTTTCTCATGGCGAAAAACTTTATCGAACTCCGTGGTCTGTTCAAAATTATTAATATTATTCATATGCTCTTGGGTTTAACTAAGAGTTGAATCAACAGTATATTATTAAAGCAACTATTTCTTCGATTTCAGAAGCATTTCGTTTGTCTCCAGGGTTGGTGGCTCTGGTGTCAGGATTTGCACACAGACCTGAGATCGTCTCACTTTTTTGCCACATGTTTTAAAATGATATTTATTATATTCCTTCTAATCTTCTGGTACCGCCCTGTCGTCATAGGTGCCTTTATCGTCTGCTGGACTCCAGGACTGGTCTTGTTACTTCTGGATGTGTGTTGTCCGCAGTGCGACGTCCTGGCCTATGAGAAGTTCTTCCTCCTCCTCGCTGAGTTCAACTCTGCTATGAACCCCATCATCTACTCCTACCGCGACAAAGAGATGAGCGCCACCTTCAGACAGATCCTGTGTTGCCAGCGCAATGAGAACCCCAGTGGCGCCACGGAAGGCTCTGATAGGTCCGCTTCCTCTCTCAACCATACCATTCTGGCTGGAGTTCACAGCAATGACCACTCTGTGGTTTAGAAGGAAGCCAGCCGGACTCTGTGGAGCAGTGAGCCCCACCCTGCCCCCCCCCCCCAGCCAGGGCACGGTGGGGAGCCGGAAGAGAAAAAGACACTTAATGTACTTAAACACTAACCAATGGCAGTATTTGTCCCTAGACCCAAGAGACTTAGGATGAACCTATTTGACAGCCCCCATCTTCTCCTTTGGAAAATAGAAGTGGAATGTCTTAGTGGAATCCAGAAACAGACTCTGGGGTGACCATGTAGCCTTCACTAACTAGACTTAAAATATTTTATGTGGTTTGGCCTAAGCCAGAAAAAAATTCTGCCAAATCTAGTACACAACTTCACACAGGCTTCCCCTTAACAAACAAACAGACAGACAGACAACTCTGGAAGATACATTTCATTTAATAAGTATGCTTATGGCTGCCGGCATGCTTGTGGTTGAAAAGACTCTTAAACTGACATAGGTGAACTTTTTCCACTATGGAAGAAAAATGTTAATTAGAATGACTTTTGTGTTTGTTTGTTTGTTTGTTTGTTTAGAAAGCAAGCATGTGATGTGTGAATACAGTATGCTTTTCTTTAAAGATGAAAGGATACTATTTTAAATCTTCTAGGGTGTAGAAGAATCTAATAAAAATCAGTATTCATTTAGGCTATGGAAGAAACAATATCCTAATCAATTACCTTTTAATTAGAGTGTTGAAACACACACAAAAAGGCAAGAAATATGAGCTTGCCAGCCAAAGAGTGTGTACTCTAAAAGCGTTAGAGAAGGTGAAATGCAGTGGTATTGCCCCTGCATTAAGATGCCCAAGTGCGTTCTTCCTGCCAGATCATCAGTGGAATTTTTTTTTTAAAGCCTGTGGTTTTCCAAGTTATGAAATACTACATACTTACTATAGAAAAACTTGAAAATTGCAGAACTGTGTGAAAAAGAAAAGAAAAAAAAGATTACTGATCGTACAACCTGGAAGTAACGATATAGCTCACACGTGTATGCTAGACATATATTATATACTTTTTTTTTTACATAATTGAAGTGATATTGTAAAATGTTTTTGTAACTTTTTCTTTCAGAATTGCCAGGTTTTCCTATGGCATTTTTTTTTCTTTTTTACAAAAACAGTGTTAGTGGCTATATAATATTCCTTTTAATGGATGCAGCTCAGTTTATTTAACCATTCCTTATTGTTGACTAGGTTTTTACAATTTTTTTCATTATTATAATATTGGAAGAATCTTGTGTACATACAACTTTGCCAGTATCATTGATTATTTACTTAGGACCTATTCCCATGAAGGATCTACTTTTTAAAATGTGAAATGTTGTCATGTGTTTTCACTTTATAAAAAGGGATATTCTACTTTCAAGCTGCAGGGGTGGCCGTGATGATAAAAACCCTTGAAATTACCTTTTTGCAAAAGAAACAGAGCAGTTACTTTAGTTGAGAATGACTTCTTAACAGGGTTTTCCCCAATAACCAAGATGCCCTAATGTAACTAGCAATTTCACATTAGTGTTTTGAGAAAATGGTGATCCCATTCTTGGCAGCGATGACTGCAGGTAGAAGTGAAGAAAACAAAGGAATCAAACATCAGAAATGAATCTAGCATTACTGTATGAAGTAGCCAGGGTGGGGTATGTTAGCAACTAGCTGCTGCGTGATCTCCAGCAATTCCACGTTCAGAGATGCCTGGAATATTGACTGGGTGATTGTCACATGATAAGGAGCAAGGAGGAGGAAGTATAGTCCCGAAGCAGGTGTAGGGAGGTCAGGAGGATGTCTGAGAGAAAGAAGTCTTGAAGAGAGTGGCATTCTAGGAAGAAGGAAGGCAGAGTATGTGGCCTATGTCTGGACAGAAGGTTGGTATGTGATGTGTGCCTGATGGGAAAAAAAAATAAAAGCAAGTGGAGAGCCAGTTATCTGAAAAAAAAATTGCTCAGAGTTTACACAAAATGCAAAAAAAAAAAAAATTATACTGGAAATGAGTGAAATGAACTTGGATTTTATGATACTGGAAACGAGTGAAATGAACTTGGATTTTTATGGGGAAGATAAGGACTATTTGAATTGAAAAGCATACTAATTGAACCTTAATAAATCATTCTCAATCAGTGTTTGGTGAAGTGTGGTTCTGGCCAATTCTGTTGCTATTGTTCGGGAAACTTCTGGCTTATTCTGTGCTGTCTTCCCCCTCCGACTTTCTTTAACAGTCTGGGGAGAGCCAACAACTGTTCCTCACGTCCAAAGACTGATTCTTGTCCCATGAGATTCATGAAAGACATGTTAATCAACAGAATGACTACTAAAGTGAAGTGTTTCCAAAATCTTATTTATTTATTTATCTATTTATTTGTTTATTTATTCTAAAGAAATATAAAATAAAAACTAACACAAATAAACAGAATGAAGAGAGCCCAAGAGAATACACAAGAAACAAAGACCCACTTGTTTGCACACTCAAGAATCCCATAAAAAAACACTAAACTGGGAGCCACATGTGTCTTTGTGGTAAGACAAAGTGACTTTGGGTATCAAAGACAATGTGCCCAAGGGTATCACTGGATCTTGAGGTAGATACAGCCTCATCTTCCTAAAGAGCTGCCACACTGATTTTCATAGTTTTTTTTTTTTAATTTTTATTGATCTTAGCCTATTTTTTTTGAGGGGTGCAAGATGAAACACACTGTTTTCTGATAGGTATAAGATGAAATCTCAAAGTAGTTTTGAGTTGCATTTCCCTGATGACTAAGGACGTTGAACATTTCCTTAAGTGTTTCTCAGCCATTTGAGTTCCCTCTCTTGAGAACTGTTTATAGTTGTACCTCACTTTTCAATTGGGTTATTTGTTCTCTTGATATCTAGTTTTTAAGCTCTTAATATAGTTTGGATAGTAGCTCTCTATTGGATGTATAGTTGGTAAAAATTTTTTTCCATTCTGTAGGCTGCTGCTTTGCCCAAATGACAGTGGAAAAGCTTCTCAGTTTCATAAGGTCCCGTTTATTAATTGTTGATCTTACTGCCTGCACTAATGGTTTTCTGTTCAGAAAGTTGTCTCCTGTGCCAATAAGTTCAAGGCTATTTCCACTTTCTCTTCTATCAGGTTCACTGTATCTAGTTTTATGTTGGGGTGTTTGATCCACTTGGAGTTGAGTTTTATGCAGGGTGATAAGTATGGATCTATTTGGATTCTTCTACATGCAGACACCCATTTTGGTCAGCACCATTTGTTGAAGATGCTGTCTTTTTTTTTTAGTGTGTATTGCTTGGTTTTTGTTGTTGTTGTTTTGTGTTTTTAACCAAAAATCACATCTCCTTAGGCTTGTCTGGGTCTTCAGTTTGATTCCACTGATGAGCATGTCTGTTTATGTGCCAACACTATGCTGTAGTACAACTTGAAGTCTGAGATGATATTGCCCCTAACAGTTATTATTAATTCTTATTATTATTCAGGATTGTTTTAGTTATCCGGGGTTTCCATATCATGCTGCATTTGTGCTTTCAAGATCTGTGAAGAATCGTGTTGAAATTTTGGTGGGAATTGCACCGAATATTTTGGTAGATTTAGATTACTTTTGGTAGGATAGCCATTTTTACTATATCAATTGTGCTAACCCATTAGCATGGGTCTTTCCATCTTCTGATATCCTCTCCAATTTCTTTCTTTGATGTCTTAAAGTTTTCATCATACAAATATTTTTCTTGTTTGGTAGAATTAGCCCAATATATTTGATATTATTGAAGCTACTGTGAAAGGTGTTATTTCCCAGATTTCTCAGTCCATTTGTCATTTGTATATACAAGTTAGTTAATTTTGTATCCAGCTACTTTGATGAAAGTGCTTATCAGATATAGGAGTTTTCTGGTAGAATTTTTAGCTTCAATTATGTATACTATTATATCATATGCAAATAAAGATACTTTGACTTCTTTCCAATTTACATCTTTTTGGTCTCCTCCGTATTGTGGTACGTAAGACTTGAAGGACTATATTGAGTAGGTGTGGGGAGAGTGAACAACCTTGTCTTGCTCCTGATTTTAGTGGAATTGTTTTGAGTTTCTTTTAAGTTGATTTTGGATATAGGCTTTCTTCAAACAGCCTTTATTGTTGCAGTATGTTCCTTACATAATCTTTTTATTTATCATGAAGAGGCATTGGATTTTGTCAAAGAACTTTTCAGTATCTAATGAAATGATCATGTGGTTTTTTATTTCAGGGTTTTTTTTTATATTGTGAATTATATTTTTATATGTATGTTGAAATATTCCTGCCTGTGTGAGAAGAAGCTGGCAGATGATCTTTTTTATGTGTTCTTGGATGCATTTTACAAGTACTTTATTGAGAATTTTTGCATCCATGTTTATAAGGGAATTTTGTCTGCAATTCTCTTTCTTTGTTGGGTCTTTAGGTGCTTGGGGTGTCAGGATAACTGTGGTCTTGTAAAATAATTTGGGCAATGTTCCTTCTGTTTCCATTTTGTGGAATAACTTGAGGAGTATTGGCTTCAGCTCTTCTTTGAAAGTCTTATACAGTTCTGTGCTAAAACCATCTGGCCCTTGGTTGGAAGACTTAATTATTGATTCTAGTCTACTTTAAATATTGCTTCTATTTCATTGGGGGTTATAAGTTTGTTTATATTGCTTGTCTGATCTCGATTTAACTTTAGTAAGTGGTGTGTATCAAGAAAATTATCTATTTCTTTTAGATTTTCCATTTCCATTTTAGGTTTTTCAAGTATGTCCTTATGATTTTCTTGATTTCTTTGGTTTCTGCTGTCATGGTCTATTTCCAATACTGACTTTGTTAATTTGAATATTCTCTCTTTGCCTTTTAGTTAGTTTGGATAAAAGTTAGTCAATCTGATTGATTTTCTCAAAGAACCAACTCTTTTTTTCATTGATTCTTTGTGTTGTTTTTGTTGTTTGTGTTTTCTTAATTTCATCTCTGAGATTGTTTATTTCTTGGCATATGCTGCTTTAGGGTATGATTTATTCTTTTATTCTGGAGCTTTCAGGTGTCTTGGTAAGTTACCAATATGAGATCTCTCGATTTTTTTTTTAATGTAGGCACTTAGTACTATGAACTTGCCTTTTAGAACCTTCTTCATTGTGTCCCATATATTTGGGTATGCTATGTATTCATTTTCATTCAATTGTAGAAAGTCTTTATTTTTTAATCTATTTTTTTATTCAGTAGTAAGTGGTTCCATTTTCATGAGTTTGTACACTTTCTGCTTTTGATATCCAGCTTTAATCTGTAGTGGTCAGATAGGATGAAGGGCGTTATTTCAATTTTCTTGTATATGTTGAGAATTGATTTCTATCTGTTTATGTGGACAATTTTGGTGAAACTTCCACAAGGTTCAGAGAAGAAGATATATTGTTTTGTGTTTGGGTGAAATGTTCTGTAAATACCTGTTTATTTGGTTTATAATGTCAGTTATCTCTAGCATTTCTCAGTGTAGTTTTTGTCCGGAAGATCTGTCTATGGGCAAGAGTGGGGTATTAAAGTATCCCCCTGTCTGTATGTGAAAGTCAATATGTAATTTAAGTTGTACTAGTGTTTCTTTTATCAACTTGGGTGACATTGTGTTTGGTGCATAAATTTAAGAATTGCAATATCCTCTTGGTAAATTTTTTTCTTTGATGAGTATATAGTGTCCTTTCCTATCTCTTCTACTTATTTTTTTTTGTTTGTTGTTTTTTTTGGAAGTCTATTTTGTCAGATACTAAAGTGTATAAACAAGGTGGCTTCATAGCCATTTGTTTGGAATATCCTTTTTATCCTTTTACCCTGAGGAGATGTCTGTCCTTGATTTAAAGGAATATTCTTGATGCAGCAGAAGGATGAATCCTGTTTTCAAATCTGTTATCTATCTCTTTCTCTCTTCTTTCTCTCTCTCTTTCTTTCTTTTTTCTTTCTTTCTCTCTCTTTCTCTCTCTCTCTCTCTCTCTCTCTCTGTGTGTGTGTGTGTGTGTGTGTGTATGTGTGTGTTCTAAGCACTACCACTTAATTCTACAGTATTTCATTTTCAGTTATCCTATGTTATCCTATCCTCATTGGACCGTGCACATTCATTGAAAGATGATGGAACAGTTTCCCATATTGTGTCTTACTCCTGCCCCAGTACACAGAGACAATCTTCAGGTGAAGCTTTGTATTAAAGATAATTTTATTTTGAAGTTTCATAGTTACTAATCACTAGAAAATCTTTCCAAACATGTAGACTTGGTAACTACAAAATTCTGAAAATATTTAAAAATTCTCAGCCATTGGTAAGTTACCAACATAATGTCTGGACATCCCTAAGTGCTCCGTGATTTCTACAGTCAGGATTTCTACATCACCACCAAGAAATTGACATGGACACAAAACCTGCTATTTAACCCACAGGTCACATCTGAGTTTCACCAATAGTCTGGTGATGTCTTTCAAAGCAAAAGAATCAAGTCCAGAGCCCCAGGAGTTGTCTGCTGCCAAGAGTTGTCTTCTATTTTGAACCACCTCTTCACATTTTCTTGACCCTCATGGCCTGTTACCTGAATATCATAAGTCATTTTGTAAAACTTCCCCCAAGCTGAGTTAGATTCACATGTTTTATCTTTCGTTGGATACTAGTGGTAACATTAGCCATGAACTGTAATTGGGGTGATGTTTGTCAGGCTTCCCTGCTGTAAAGAAAATTCACCTTTTATTCTTCATAACTATTATTTTATAGAGAGGTACTTCAAGACCATATAAACATCTTGTCTTTCATAAAATAAATTGTGTATTCATTGTGTGTAATGTACTGAGTTCCTGCCTTGTGTGTGTGCACATACCTGTGGAAGCCAGAGGTTGATGTTGGGTATCTTCTGCCACTTAGTTTTTGAGACATGGTCTCTCATTGAGCCCAGAACTCACTGACTGACTAAGTTAGTTGGCTACCAAGCTCTAGGATCCATCTATTTCCACTCTTTCTCTACCTATGTCTCCATCTAACACTATCCACAATACCAACATTACAGCACATGCCACCATGCCCAGCTTGTATGTAGGTTCTGGGGATCTGAATTCATATTTATACTTGTCAGCATTTTATCTACTGAGTCAATTCTCTAGCTCCCTTTTTCATCACATTTTCAT